AATAAAACTAACTCAAAAGCATCATATTCTCTTTCCTCCTGCTCAGGGGTATCTGAGGTTTTACACAAGATTTTGTGAATGCAAGTGGGATTGATTCTTCAGCAGTTTAATTCTTCAACAACAATTCTTAGGCAACAGCTAAATTTAAGTTACAATCCAAAGGTTTACTGGAATATAAAGACTGTCAGTACTTTAAAAGTTTTATTTTTTTCACATGCACTAGGAAATCCTTCCAATTGTGAGCTTGTTTGAGGGCATCATTTGATCAGTTCCACAGGCAAACTCCACTACTACTAAAACAGTCTTTCTATATAAAAATTTTCAGAAAGAAATCCTGCCCTTCACCAATATACAATACAGGCAACTTGCAAAAATGTGCTAGAATCAGAAGGATAATGGGCACAACTGTCTTTCAGTAACAGTTACTGATACAAACAATGTAGCATGTTTTTATTGCCACACAGCTTTGCTGTCTTTTAAAAAAAAAAAAAGACAAGTTCTTCTAAGGCATGCAACTGTTTAAATAAACAAAACCGTGTCTCTCATATGCTTCAAGACTATACTAGAGGTACAAGGGGAGAAAACATTTGACTGTGCTTCTAAAGCTAAATGGCAAAAACAACATTATAAGAATTTGCCTCATAGTTTTAGCACTACTCTAGCTATGCTATGTATGTTCCCATACAAAAAGTAGATAATACCATGCTCATTACGTTTAGATCAGAATTAACTGTCATGGTCTAACATTACTGTACACATAGGCAATTCAGTATTGCATCAAAAATTGACCTTTTTTTAAGGAAAATAAAAAGATAATGACATCACTGATTTCCCAATAACTCACCACCCATGAGAAGCCACCACAGTTTGAAACAGAATAAATTTTAGGGCAAATTTTCCAACTGCTAGGAAAAGGTGCTACATTTCGTTCAGAGATAATCTGAGTCAAAATCCCAACTATATGCTGGGCCTCCTGCATGCAAATAGCCATGCTTGTGTCTTGTTTCTAAACTTTCCTCTGCTAATTAAAGGTAATCCCACTTGATACCATAGGTAATACATTCTTAGATTGTCTTTACATGCCTTGAGCCTGTATCACCACTCTCACTAGTTCTTATCTGCTGTGTTTCAATTCAAACACATGGAGCTGCCTCATCTGGACATGCTCTTCAGGATCACCTTAGATAAGAATTTTTTGTCCACACGGTTTAACATCAAAGCATTCTTATCATACCATCACTGAGTCCTTGACTGAGAGATACCTATGTGTACTAATAGGAAGTCTTATGATCAATGCCTACAACAAAAAGTAAGGGAAGCTGCATTCCCAAAGCTCATCAGTCTTCATAATACTAACTTTCAGCTGGTGAATGCTTCCTTACCATCACGGCACTTTCACAGTTAAAGCTGACTCTTTTAAAATGTACTGGTGTATGTACATATGTATTATAATGGAGTGATATTAAGCCAGAAGCACTTATTGTACACATTAATAAGTGCATTCAAAACTGTTTTTGTAATTCACTAGAATCAAAGAATTATTAAGGCTGGAAAAGACCTTCAAGATCAGCAAGTCCAACCTGTGACTGAGCACCATATCAACTAATCCATAGCACCAAGTGCCACATCCAGTCATTTCCTGAACACTCCCAGAGATGTTGACTCCACCCCTTCCCTGGGCAGCCCATGCCAATGCTCAACCACCACTTCAGTGAAGAAACTCCTCTTATGTCCAGCCTGAACTTCCCCTGGCACAATTTGAGGCCATTTCCTCTGTTGTTGGCTGCCTTGGAAAAGAGACCAATATCCACCTGGCTACAAGCTCCTTTCAGGCAGTTGTAGAGGGTGGTAAGGTCCTCCTTGAGTCTCCTTTTCTCCAGGCTACACGACCCTAGATCCCTCACAGGACTCACTCTCTAAACCATTCAACAGCTTAACTGTCCTCCTCTGGACATGCTCCAGAACCCCAATGTCCTTCTTGTGAGGGGCCCAGAACTGGACCCAGGACTTAAGGTGCAACCTCAGCAACTTGATCCAGGTCTAACTGACCTGCTACTCATGACACAATGAGGGCCTAGCTCTACTTTCCAAATAAATTAATCAGATCAGGAAAAGGCACTGTTTCTGGTAAGCTGTTTGCGTGAGTTTTTAAACATACAGACGTTCTTATAGAGCAGCCATACCAGCATCTACTTACAAGTCTTTATTTGGCCACTATACTGCATTGCAAAAAGGACTGAAAAAAAATTCAGAATTTCTAGGTCACTCATACCCCAACTTTTGACCAGTGCAGACCTTTGTAGTCTCTTCTGCAAGCACCCCAAGGTCGTCTGTCTTTACTCAATACTATCAGAACATTAAAAGTGCAACCATAACATATCAAAAGTATAGGTATCTGCTGTTGTGTACTGCATTACCTGAAAGACACCCAAAAGCAGGTCACAAAAATCAGTATTCTGCTAAGAGCCTTCCCTGATGCCCTCTTTCCTGGTGCTTATTCTGATGAGGATACAGCACATGACTATTTTTTTGAGGTGACAGCTATTTAGTATAAAACTGACCTATCTCATTAGGCTGAGAAAAAACCATAACTAAGGTAACAATGCCAAGCCAGCATGTCTCAGTAGAAGAGTCTGAGAGTTTGTCTGTAAACCAAAATATCGTTATAAAATTGTTACCAAAAATGATGACTGAGTAAGAGGTCAAAAAAGCCTTGTTCTCAGCAGCACATAACAAACTCCACAAACATACCAACTACACTAAATATGCCATGGAAGAAAGGGAGAGAACATATCTCTCCCATGTCTGAGGGAAACTACTGCTAACAGTAACGTCAGGATGTGGAGAACTGCATCTTTAAAAAATCAAGTATGCCACTCAACCATTATAGAGCTAAACAAGATTCCCATCAGACTAACTAAAATTTGGAGATCCTTTGGAATGAAACCCTTTGTAGGCATCAAAAAGCAGCATCTATATATAACAAATGAAGATAAGGAAAGGGAGGAACAGCAGCGCTTGTGAATAAATTATTTGTTAAAAAGAAGTCTTAAAAGCATGTATATCAAAGTAATCTTATTAATCCTTCAATGTGTATTTTAACAGAGAAATTGATGCTTCAGATGGTACTGAGAGTCTGTAAATCTGAAGACTCAAGCTTGACAGGCATCAATGCATCATTATAATCTTTTTGAAGAGAAAACATAGCTATAGATTTCTAAAACTCAATTTCATGCCAGGATCAAATAAAAACACAATTGCAGCAGTTTCTCCAATTTTGGTTCTCTTGGCTTCAGATTCTATGAAGATTTGTATCCCATTTAGGGGAATAAAACCCCAGAAATAAAGCAAGAAAAACAACTCAAAACCAAAACCCTTACAGAGGCCAATACAGTTTTTACAAGCACCATCATATAGTCTAGACACAGTAAACTTTAAAGAAGAAATAAAGGAAACTATCTATATAAAACTAACTTTATTCCACGGGCTTTGTTTCATCATTCTAACAGGATTCACTTCTTTCTCAAAGCACGTATCATCAATCACCATGGGTCAATAAACAAACTAAAGCAGCTGTTAGCAAAAGTCGATGGAAAACACTTGTTTTGATTGAAACAGATAAGAGGAAAAGGCATTTGGATGTTCCACGAGTTTCACCAGCGCCATCCTCACATCAATATCTCATGGATATAATCTTGCCCTACACAATTATTTGTACTTCACCTTATGAATTGTGAGCTTTTCTGTCTTTCCCTTCTCCCTTTGACCTTCCACGTTCGTTAAAGCAGAGCCAGAAAGGGAGAAACAAATTACAGCATTAGGTCCTAATTCTTAGATTAGTTTCAGATCAGGTGGATTCTTGTACACACACAGCCCAGCAGAAGTAAAGCACCACAGATAATGTGAAAACCGCAATTTGACATCGCTCCTTCAGGTATTACAAACTCTTTCAATCAACATTTTTTCTAAAAGGTTTACTTCTAGAAATTATGATATAAAACCAGCACAGAGCAAAGACATGGGCCTATTCTGCATGACCTAACACTACTACCTTATTGGTGTATGAGAGATCTCTTTGAATGGACAGTTTATTATCACTACCTCTTCTCTCTGAAAATTTAAACAAAATTAAAACCTCATGCTTCCCCACTGAGATGAGGCCCCAGATCCTTCTTACTGCTATATGGGAGAAAACACTGTTTTACTAAAGGAAAATGCAACTATAAACTCTTGCATCAGTTTCATACTGATCAACAGAAAATACATAGGCAGAGAGGGCACTGGTAGATTCTTAAGTCACATTCAGTTCAATCACAAGTAATAGGGAGGCATACAAAATTACACAATCATTTTATGCATTTTTTCTTCTTATCATCATTGTATGAGATATGTTAATGCTAATCACAAAACCAACCACACAGCCCAGGGAAGAGAAAAATCAGACTGAAATAAAAATTTCCAAATACCATCAAGTATGCCTTAGCCTTTCTCAGTTACAAGAAACCATATGCCTCAACGTGGCAAACTCCTATACTGGCTGGCTGGCCTTACACACGATGTCCCAACAGACACCGGGCACCTGTCAGCACCTATGTATTTGTCCACATGGAGCAATTCAATCCTGCCAAGTTGCTACCAACAGCCTTGTGCAACAGAAAGGTTGACATGACCTTGCGAATAGTTCCTCAAAGACCAGAGAAAGCAATACAGCAATCACTTTGTCAGGGCACACTGCCTTCTCCCGTTATCCAGGCCCCGAAGTTGCCGAGACCTCTCCTTTGGCATTCAAAGCAAACGCCAAAACAGCCTACAGTGATTCGGTGAGTGACGTAAAGAGAAAGAAATAATCAGTGTTAATTAACCCGTCAAAACAGAAGTCGGAACCCGAACTAAGCGCATATGCACAGGGTTACGGGGTTGACAGCCCTACGCAGGAATATCTGGCACACTTGGGAGGAAAAGCCTTGCGGAACATAAAAGCGCGTATCCCATGCTCTCACCTCGGCACTCGACCACTCACACAGCCCTGCGCGAAGCCTACGTTCTCTCTCTCTCAGAAATTTGCGACCAACGGTGCCCAAGTTCACCCTAAAAACCAGCAACGGAAAAGCCAAGCCAAAAAGACAAAGGGGATTAGGCGGGCATTACTTAGACTGACCTACATACTGCCCCCAGCCCGCGGCGGCCTTGAGGCAGACGGCAGCTGCTCGGCCGGGGGTGACACCAGCCTGACAGTCCACCCTGCCCGCCGATGAAGCCGAGCGGCGGTGCGACACCCCAGAAACTCAGTGCGGGTCACGGCCCAGCCGCCGCCACCGTCCCCTCACGGCTCCCACAGCAGTGGGAGCAGCCCCTACCTGGCGCGGGTGGCGGCAGAAAGTTTCTCCGAGGAGGGGCCAGGCGGGCTCCACGCCCTCTCTGCCGAAACCAACAACTCCGGGAAGGAAGGAAGAAAGGAAGGGGGAAGGGAGGTGGCCACCCAGGTAAATCGCCGTCCGGGACGGGATAGCGAGGCCGTCGTTAATCTCTCGGAGGAGGGATGCTCCCTCACGCCTGCCCGCCCCGAAGGCTCCGTCCCCTCAGGGTGAGCATTTTGCCCCGTGCCGCGTCTCCCCCTTGCTCCTTCACAGCGGGCGGCCCCAGCTCGGCACGGGCTGCCGAGTTCGTCTAAATGGGGCCGGGCCGTGAGTCACAGTGGCGGGGAGGAGCCGCGACCTGCCGAGGGAAGCCCGGCCCAAGCCGGGCGGGCGCGCGCCCAGACGTGGAGTGGGGGGGATAGAGCCCGACTTCAGAAACTTTACAATTAAGAAAGTTTCCTGCCATCTCTGCCTGCCTACATGGAAAACTCGCAAGCTAGAAGTACCATTTTAAATCTATCCCGATCTTACAAATGAAAATTAGAGGTAGTTCCCCAATTATACAAGCTGCGAGATGATCAGTGGCCCGGAGCACCTTTCTTCTGAAGGGATGCTGAGAGCTGAGGTTGTTCAGCCTGGAGAAGAAAAGACTCTGGGAAGACTTTGTTTTGGTCTTCCAGTACTTGGGAGCATCTCTCATGAGGAGAGACTGCAGGAGCTGGGCCTGTTTAGTCCAGAGAAGAAAAGACTGGGAGAAAATCTCATTAACGCATACAAATATGACAAAGGCAGGTGCCAAGGGGATGGTGCCAGACTCTTTTCAGTGGTGCACAGCAACAGGACGAGGAGCAACGGGCATAAACTAAAACACAAGAAGTTTCACTTCAGCATGAGAAAGAACTTCTTTATGCTGACAGTGACATAGCACTGGAACAGAGGTCAATACAGTCTCCATCTCGGGAGGCCTTCAAAACCCATCTGGAAATGTTCCTGCATCATCTGATGGAGGTGAACCTGCCTTGACAGGAGAGTTGGACTAGATGATCTCCAGAGGCTCCTTCCAACCCTATAAATTCTGTAATACTTGAAGTAGGCTCATAACAAAGAGCAAGAGGGACTTTTGGCATGGGCACATAGTGATAGGACAAGTGGTAATAGTTTTAAACTATAAGAAGAGCTCTTTAGAGGAGATGTTAGGAAAAATTCCATATTCAGAGGGTGGTAAGGCACTGCAACAGGTTTTTCAGCTCTGGATGTTCCATTCATGGAAATGTTCAAGGCTAAGGTAGATGTGGCTTTGATCAACCTGGTCTAATGGGTCACAGCCCTACCTATGGCAAGAGGCTGGAACTGGATAATCTTTAAGGTCTCTTCCAACACAAACCATGTGGTTACTGAGCTAGAAAAAAGAGAGAGAGAGAAAGCAAGGACAGCAACACACATGGACCTCTTTAGGGAAAAAAGGCCAACTTTATTGAATAGACAGCCCGTATTTAAAGCATATTACATGGAGCTAGGACAGGACAGTAGCTCATTGGACAATTGGGAAAAACATCCATGAGACTGTACCAGGTGTTAATCTTTATTATGAATTCCATTCTGGTTTTCACCATATTATCACCTTGGGAGACTTCTTCCCTAACTGAAGCCATAGTCAGCTTATCAGCCTGGGAATGGACCTGAGAGTCAGGAGAATTTCAGGCCTGAAAAAAGAATTTTCAAGCTGTTATTCCCTAGCTCTCTAAATGTGTGTGTCCACAAAACCGCTCTGTGATTCAGTGATACTATATAGTTCTTATTTTTAAATACCTCACTGTAACTGTGATAGACTGTGGCAAATAGCTAAGCATAGTTCAATATGCCACTTTGTTTTCCCTTTTTTTTTTTAAGGCTTCAGATAAATTAATTAGACTGTAAGTGTTCTTATTATGGTTTCATTAAAGACTCTAAATAGGAATAGATGCTGGCCTATTAGGGTAACAGCTCATTTAAAGAAATATATAGTATAGTATAATTACCAAGTGTAATAGTGTTGTCTCTCAGTTCAGGAAGCATTCTTTCCAAAGCTCTATGTAATTAAAAGATAATTTACTGTGATTTTTAACTAACTAGACTCACACAAACTAACTCACACCTAGGTATGCCAGAGTTAAGGTTTCCCAACCCAAGATAAAACCATCATCCAAAAATCCACTAAGAAATAAAACTGATATAACATAACTGAGGTTCCTCCACTCCTCCACTTAGGAAGGCTGGACGAATCATTGGTTCTTGTACTATATCTTGGCACACGTTGAAACTAAATCTAAACTTTAAGGACAGGGAGTACTGCCATTTCTAGGCACTATAATTCCTCCCTCACATGCTGTTGTTTACTGGTTTTTAAACGGCAAGATGAAATAGTAAGGCCATATAATTCTTTATTGAAAATGTTACGGCAGAGGTGCTTGGTGCTCAGCAGAGCCAGTAACATAATTTCATAGACTGAATCCAGAATTTATTGCCTAGATGTCTGAGCATGCATGTCTCTTTGGAAAGCTGTTTTCCAGTGTTAGATCTGGTATTTCATTTAAATAAATTCAAAGTGCGGCTTCCAAGTGCTGCTATTGAGCCTGGATGTGGAGATGGATGGCATTTGGCTGCTGTCTAGGACAGCAGAGCAGAAGCCAGCTTAGGAATTTGGTAGAATTGTCTAGAGAACTTTAGGAGAAACTGAGGGGATACTTCTGTTTAAATCTTTTGGTCTCAGAAGCATGGGATCCATCAGCCAGCACGCAGTGGAAAGATGTATGTGAAACCTCTCATCATAATCAGATCACTCAGTTAAGGAGTGAGCCTCAAGCACTGCCTCTTGCAGATGCTGATAGAATCTATTTTCCTTCTTTCTGTTGCTGCTTTAAGCATTTTAAAAGCACTCCATGGTTATTTTTGCTGTGATAATTAGGTTGAATCCAAGACAGGGATGTAAAATGATGGCTATCTTTTAATCATTTGATAAGCTGTTCTATCACATGGAGTTAGAAGAAATGGAAGTGTAAAGATTTCTTATCACAAGCTCACACGAATTCTCCTCCTCACCCTCTTTGTTCTGAAGGCATTCTGAGCTACTGAGAAATACTTCACCCAAGTGTAAGAGTTAGAGGCATAACACGTGAACCCAAACACAACTGACTGACAGCATAATTGCAAGTAGTAAAGGTAACATGAGATTTCATGACCAGCACTTGCCGGTCTTGAATGTTGTGTAATTGATACAATTGTGCAGTACCTCTAGTGAAGTTACTAATAATTACAACTAACTTTGTATTTACAGTAGTTAGAGAACACAACAGCATGTATGCTCATACTTTTGGTCACCAGTTTTTTACTCCACAGAAACCTCAGCCTTTCTAATGAAATTCCAGAAAGTTTCTTCTTTCTGTGACCCAGGACATGCCTGCAGCATCAGAAATATATTTACTGTTGCAGACAAAAAGTGACCAAATGTATCTACGTAGGTAAACCAGACAGCTTTTAGAAGAGCTCTTGTACAGTAGATTTCTATGCCATTTTTTCATGTTACATATTTTATCCATTTGTCCATAAAGAAGTGTACTTTATGCAAAGAATTGAATTAAACTCTCCAATTGCTAGTCACAGGTGTACTACAAAGAGAAAATCCCTAAGATAGAAATAGTTTCATTTAAAGAAACCCAAGTTACTGTCAACAAACTAGAATGCTCACTGTAAATTAAGTGACCCCTGAACTGACCCATGTATCACAGATTTTTCTTAGATTTGATCTAGATACCACCTCAGTAAAATAAACCTATACTAAATTTGCTTCTTAGCAAGAGATCTGATTTACAGGAAGATAAATATTTCCTGTTTAAGAATGAAGAGAAATACAGGCATTTCCCAAGTCATGTTATATGCTTTGCTACAGCCATTGTTCCTTATCTTCTCACAGCAACAGGAAAAAAAACTGTTTGCTTTAAATCTTCAGAAAGGTACTTCAGAATTTTCTCTACACATGTCTTAAAACCTTCATACTAAGAAATGAAAGCACTCTAAATACCTTTCAAAAACCTTTGGTTACTTCTACCCAAATCATATTTCATCTGAATGGTATAAGCTACATTCATCTCTTAATGTTAAAAGATGTCACCAAGCTTTTTTTTTACATATATTTTTGCAGATATTTTGCCGCAACACACAATTTGCAATGCAGTACTATTCTAAAATCATTAGTACAGGAAAGATAAATGTTGCATTTACATGGATAGAATCCAGGCACTTGGCTGGACTGGTAACTAATGCAAATATGTATATAGATTGGAAATGACTAAATTACCCTCAAGTGTTTGTACTTTGATGAACAGAAAAAATATTAAAGATTTTATAATCTATCTTAATTGTTATATATTGATTTACCGTTTCAAGAAAACTCTTTAAATAAAGGAGAATTTGTTTTAAAAGTTATGTAACAGGATTTAGTTGAAGGGATTTACCTATGATTATTATCAGTTAGTGATTTATGAGAGAAACCAAAATAAGTTCACTGCCCCTTTAATAAAATTATTTTTCCTATTTAAAACCAGATTTGGTTATCTATGATACATTGTAAGGGCCTGACAGTAATTTTGACAGTATGTTGCTTCACTGTGCTCCAAAAGGCAGTCCACTCATAGTTTGTAATTTCTCATGCACTGTAAAATGTCACAGGTCAGCACTGATATCAAAAGAAGTAATCTAGTTTTCCTCCACTCATTCTGTTCCTCCTTACATTTCCATTTTCCTTGATCTATACAGCTGTTTAATTAATGAAATCAGTTCCACGATCCAGATTAAAATTAACCTCCCCCGTTTTTATTCCTTAAATTTAACATGGATCAGCTTTTTAATCTGCTTCACCTGCCACCACATAAATCCTTACTCTGGCACAAGAGAGGGAGTCGCATGAGGGCAAGAATTAATTGGGGCACCATAAATTAGCACAGAGAACACATGAAGCTGAAAGTATGATTTTAAAAACGGCTTTTAACAGTTAGGCAGAAACAATCTATTCTATTCTAATCTAATCTAAACAATCTAATCTATTCTATTGCTTGTGAGGTTGTTTTTTTTTGTTTGTTTGAGATTATGTGCCCAAAGCACATGATACAATATTGCCAGTCCATTATCTGAGAACTTGCCTATGTCCTCTTTAGGTGCTCACCTTTTCTCGTTGTGTTTTTAAGACACAGAG